ACTATGTTCTCTTGCCTGTGTGGCATGGTGCAGTGTACTAAGGCTAGACATAAGGTCTTCCAGCAGCCACCCTCTTGACCCAGGGAAGTATCACTTCCTCAAGGCACTTGATGTAGGTCTCCGTGTTGAGTCTGAGACCTTCACCAACAAATTATGGAATTCTTTCCTTATCAGATTGATCAGAGTGAGATTTCCGAGCAGCCGTATCTTCGTAATCACCATTAGACTCATTCAACACTTTCCAAGTGTTCTGCACTGTCCTCAGATTGACAGCCATACAATCTTAATATTCGAATTGGAGCTTCTGGCGAATGTCAGGCAGTACAGCATGTCGTTTCCAAATGTCTGGCAGAGTGAATTGCGTCATGGTGCTTTTTTTCTCACAGACGTTGCCCAACTGACCCGACTAGTCGACAAAATCCAAAACAAACGACGCGCAATTTAAATCAAATTTAAATTATGTATTGATTAATTTTTCAATCAGAACCTGAAGACTGCATGAAACTCAGAGTTGTTCCATATGTGCGAAAAAATATATATTTATTATTAATCTGTAAATTATAGCTCTGATATTCTACATCGAGCACTTTTTTTTTTATTAACACCTGCACTCAATGTGACACACACACACACATATATATATATATATATATATATATATATATATATATATATATATATATGCATGTTTCATTAAAAACGACAGACAAGGTACTACGGTTGAGCTTTTTTATTTATGAATAAAGCCACAATGTGCTAACCGTATTCGGAAATTAAAAACATCCTACCACACACTGAGCATACACAGAACACACACACACTCTACTAAGCTGATAATCGAATCATCCTTGATAATGGCTAAAGGTATAGCCGAAAGCGCTCGTAAATATAGAACATTTGGACAGTTCTTACACACCCTTTGTCCAGAAAAGAAAGCTCTTGATAGAACACAAGAAAAATTAAATAAAAAGCTCAACCGTACTACCTTGTCTGTCGTTTTTAATGAAACATGCATAAAGGAAGGATTGCTGCCTAAATATACAAATATATATATATATATATATATATATATATATATATATATATATATATATATATATATTTTTGATGTGAAAATACTTATAAATTGTCTAAAACTACTGCAATTTATTTTTGCTCAATAAAAGTTAATAATAAAAGGCGTTGTTTTCGTCACATTGTATATATAAAATATCACTGATATAAAATGTCTTAACATTCTTAGTGCGTAAGATGTAACTTGTGAAACCCAGCTATCTATCTATCTATCTATATATATATATATATATATATATATATATATATATATATATATATATCACTGATACGGAAATGTCCGAACCTTCTCAGTACGTAAGATATAACTTGAAAACCCAGTTAGATATTTATTTTATATTATATATATATATATATATATATATATATATATATATATTTGATAGGTATATATATATATATATTTATATATATATATATATATATATATATTTATCATTGATATGAAATGTCCGAACCTTTTCAATACGTAAGATGTAACTTGAAACTGAGACATTTACTTTTACTGAATTGTCAACGTTTTGCCCTGTCTGTGTATCATCAGAAGAACGGAAAAATTGTAAGAAGAAAAAAGAACTTTACAATAGCAACCTCGCTACTTAAAAGCATTGTGGTTAATTTGAAAAAAAAATTAAAAAGTTAATAAAATTTACAAATAACTCTCTATAAACAAATAGAGAATCAGTATATATAGTTTAAGCACAAATTAAAGATCAATAACCCTATCAGTTTTCATCTGTTATACAAATACACACACACCCACCCACACACACACACACATATATATATATATATATATATATATATATATATATATATATATCCATATATTTCTTTCTAAACACGATATTCTCACAAACGCACCAATATATACCAGGAAACCCAAAATATGTACATTGCATTGTATATGTTAGATTGCAATAAATATTTCTATGTGAGCATATACTATAACATTAGAGCAGTGTAGATACAGATAGGAATTTAGATAATCCAGGAAAAAGGGTACTTTTCTATTTTTTAAGGTGGTGTCTGTATTTTGATATGAGTTCACTTCGAAGGTTAAATAAATTCTCCTGGTTTTTATATTTAATTATAAGTATTTTCTCCAGCAGACAAAGGTTACAACGGTCCCTGAAGTTCTTCCGAGTTTGAGTTCTGGATATGAATTTCAAATCCAATTGCGGTATGAGACCTTTGTCGATAAGGTCCCAATAATGTCTGGATAAAGTCGTTTGGTTTTTGAGAGAACTATTGCTGAAGAAGTATCTGTGATTATATAAGTGTTGCTTCCAGTTTCCCGAAGATATTCCAATGTAGGTCTTCTTCAGGTTAACATTTTCTTCAGGCAAAATCGTTGCTTCATATACCACGTTTTTAGACCTGCATTTACCTCCAACGGGGCACTCAGTTGTTCTTCTACAAATGCACGTGGGGTTAATATCCGTTACTTCATTGTTATGAAATTTATTTAGTAGATTACTATTGTGGGCGGAGATGATTTTCTCTACATTGTTACAGGAGTAACTAATTTTAAGTGGTTTTCTATTAAGTATTTTTGATAGAAGGTTCTTGTCATCAAAATGTTTATCTAATAGTTTTTAAGAAGAAATGGCCTATATTAGTATTGGAAAGTTTGCAGTAGGGTGGGTTGAACCATGTTCCAAATATTAATGGTCCTTTAACCTTAAAAACTATACAAAAAAGATTATGAAAGTTTTCAAGGTTTTAGGTTCAAGATAAATATATCGTCTCACCGAAAAATAGTCAACTTTCTTGATATCACTCTTAATCTTTCCGATAACACCTTTAAAACCTTCCTAAAAGAGGGTCAACCCCCATCTACATTAATGTCCATTCTAACCACCCGAAGTCAATTAGAGAACATATACCCAAAAAACACAAGAATAAACAGGTTAGTCTCTGACAAAAAGTTTTTAGTTTAAGTTTTTATACAACCAAGCACGAAGAAATAGCAAGTTTAAGCAAGAGTTTCACTACCAGGATAAGCCTAAGAACCTAAATTTAAAAAAATCTCTAAAAAGAGAAAAAGGAAAGTCATATGGTTCAACCCACCCTATGGTTATCGATAGCATTTTACACAAATGTCATCGAACTAATCAAAGAGCAGATGTGATCAATCGAGAAAAATCTCCGAAGACTGTGTATTTATGAACAGTAATTCGGACTGAGCTAACCAGGCGCTTCTCTATAGCTTTATGATAGAGCACGTCAGGCCAAATGACGGTTTCCGTTTAGGGAGACAGGTTCGATTGCCGTGGGAGAATGCATATTTTCTACAAAATTTCTTGAACATTCAGGCCAATAAATATAAATACTCTTTAAAAAAAAAAAACAGAACATTTACATAAATAAATTGTATCTATTAAAATAACGTATAAAAGAAAACATATTAAATAATTATCTGATTTAATCCATTCTATTATATATAGAGAGAGATTTTCCAAGCGTAGATTGGATGTGACACAAGGCCGAAAGTAAGGGGCACCCACTGAGGATCGAACTCACTACTCATTCGTAATTGTTTTAGCGAGACAAGCTTACTAACCCTTACACCACCTCGAGGTGCCCATATAGAGAGGTAAGGGACCTAAGGTGGTTGTGGTGGCGACGGGTACAGATAAACATGATGGTGGAAAACGGACACTGACATAAACGTAACCTATCAACCCCTGTGCAAGGAAGAAGAATGAACAAAAAATGGCGATGAAACATTTTAGGGGGGAGTTTAAAATTCTTATAGAATGAGAATAAGAATTTAAAATTAATACTTTTATAAAAAGATGTTAATATTAATCTATTCAATACTACATCTTTATATAATAAAAGTTACAGTAAAAAATTTAAATCCCCTGATCAATTTTTATATTTACATACGCTCCCTGACATTGAGTACGCTAAAGCATAAACATCGCATAACTTAAAACTGTATTTTGTCATATATATATATATATATATATATATATATATATATATATATATATATATATAAAAGATTCAAGTCAACACTCAGGCGACAAATTGATTCATATTAGATGCAATCGTCAGGCCACGATTGCGTCTAACATGAAACAGACTGTCGCCTCAGAGTGTTGACTTCAATGTTTATATATATATATATATATATATATATATATATATATATATATATATATATATATATATATATATATATATATATTTATGTATATATATATATATATATATATATATATATATATAAGTGAAATATTGTCAACACACAGAGATGATAGGCTGTTTCATGCTAGACACGGCTTGACGAAGGCATCAGGCATGAAACAGCCTGTTGACTTTAATGTTCACTTTTATATTTACATATACTCTATCTCTGATATTGAGCACTTTATCACATAAATATAGCACACATTTAAACTATATTTCTTCATATATATATATATATATGTGTGTGTGTGTGTATGTGTGTGTCTGTATATATATATATATATATATATATATATATATACAAGAATGGTGTATATGGTATAAATTCCATTGACCAAAAAATACTATTCTAATAAAAGTGTTCAATACAGAGAAAAATCATCAATACGGTTTATTCGAAAATTATAACATAAACACGTTATAAAAACACTACAAAAATAGTGATTTTGTTTCAACACTTCTGGTGTTGACACAAAATCACTATTTTTGCAGTGATTTTATAACATATTTATGTCATTTTCGAATAAACTATATATATATATATATATATATATATATATATTAAATGAGGTATTGTAATTATTTAAATTATTTGGACGGTTTTTCTTATCTTTGTTGTCATATATACGACGTTTCGGCCATTGTACGCTCCTGCAAGTGAACCCTTTATTTCGTCCACTGGCGTAGATTGTTCTAGTTCCACGTACCGCGCCTATTTATCTCAGTCTGTTCATATCTATCTATCTAGCTATCTCAGTCTGTTCATTATCTATCTATCTATCTATCTATCTATCTATCTATCTATCTATCTATCTTAGTTTGTTTATATCTATACACGCTATTTACATTCTTCGGACTGTTGTCATCTTTTTTTTTCAATTCTCACGATGTTTCGCTCATTGTACACTCCGACTTTCTTCAGATGATGGGAATTTCGAACCCAACCCTTTATTTCGTCAACAGGCGTAGATTGTTCTAGTTCCACGTACCATACCTCTTCTATCTCAGTCTGTCCATAGCTATATATCTATCTAGCTCAGTCTGTTTATTATCTATCTATCTATCTATCTATCTATCTATCTATCTATCTCAGTTTGTTTATATCTATATATGCTATTTACATTCTTCAGACTGTTGTCATCCTTTTTTGCAATATTCACGACGTTTCGCCCATTGTACGCTCCGGCTTTCTTGGAATTTCGATCCGAACCCTGTATTTCGTCCACCGGCGTCGATTGTTCTAGTTCCACGTGTCATGCCTATGATAGAGGGTTCCTTTTTCATGGATACTTGGAATGCGATATCAATAGCTACCACAGTGTGGTCTGAGTTACCAAGATGGCAGTATTGTGCAGCTCGACAAGAGCAAGGAGAGGAGGTAAGATGTTAAATCCAATAGAGAAGCATGTTGCTCGGTTTAGTTAGGGAAACGAGTAGGAAAATCCATGTAATTGGCAATGAAAAATATTGATATCTGAATAACGGCTACTTCAGTCCCTTTAAAATCTTTCAGCCACTTATCATGGTGAGCATTAACTCATTACCTGCCAAATTTTTTTAATGCGCATTTTTAGCCCAGACAGGTGTCTTAAGAGTTTATTTATTTCTTATGTTGAATTTCAGTAGTTACCATTGTCGTTTTTATAAAAACTAGAATATCAAATATATATGTGTATAAAACATCAAAAAATAATATTGATTAGAAATAATAAAAAAAATATCTGTCTATATTTCTGAGATGAGGTATTATGTACACAATTTACATTATTCGGACTATTGGCCTAATCTTTGTCGCCATATTAATTACAACGTTTCGGCCCTTCAGTATCTGTCTATATTTCTGAGATGAGGTATTATGTACACTATTTACATTATTCGGACTATTGTTCTCATCTTTGTTGCCATATTTATTACAACGTTTCGGCCCTTCAGTATCTGTCTATATTTCTGAGATGAGGTATTATGTACACTATTTACATTATTCGCTCATAGCTATATGGAGCTTTTTTCCCCAACTACATAAATTTATTTGGGATCTGTGTGTGTGTGTGTGTGTGTCTGTGTGTGTGTTCCAAGCAACAATTCCCTGCTTGCCATTAACATGGTTGATGCTGGACTCAAACAGAGGGTCTCACTGAGCCTTCTTGGGCTTATGTTTTCGAATGACTTGAAATGGAACAACTACAATGAATCAACAGCTGCATCAGCTGCAAGAAAAGTTAACTCACTATGCCATGCCAAATGTTTTTTTTTTTTATCACAATCCATTCTACACATCTACCATTCGTCCATGCATTGAATACTGTTGCCATATCTAGTCGGGTGCCCTTGCTATTCATCTTGAGATTCTTGACAAAATCAAAAGAAGAATCTGCAATGTAATTGGTCCTGACTTGGCATCTCATCTTCAGTCACTTTCTCACAAACGTGATGTGGCTCCCCTCTGCCTTTTTTACAAATATTTTCATGGCAACTGCTCTGACGTGGCATTATCCCTGGTACCCCGACTCGACGAATTTAAGCGTGATACTAGTTTGGCATCTCGGTCCCACCCTTTTACTTTTGAAACAGTTAAATGTAACCGCCATTTATACTCCAACAGCTTCTTCTCTCGCACTTCCCGACAGTGCAACTCCCTTCCTCTTCCCTGACAGCTATAATCTTCAATAATTTAAATGCAGTGTCAATCGTCATTTGATGACTTGATTTCCCATCTTTTTAACCTTTCCTCAATCTCTCGGTCTTCTCTTACATTCACTTTTTGTAAGAACTTCCGTACGAGTGTTACTCCTGCCTAGCTTGGGATGAAAGGCTTAAGAAAATATGGATGGACAGAAGGGCCTTTTATATAAATTTTCTTCTAAGCTGCCTCTTTTTTTACGTCCCCTTTTACTGCATTTTCGAACTTTTGTTCGAATTCTCTTCGAAGTCACATTCTTTTTCTTTCTTTTCCGTTTTCTGTTCGCCTTTTTCTTCTTTTTTTTAAAGATTTTTTTTATTTATTTAAATCAACTTCATTTTTATTATTTACCCGTTCTCTGTCATCTTTATTATGATTCTCAGCTTCTGAATTTTTTTCTTCTTTTCCTTCTTTTTCTAAATATTCGTCTTCTACTCTCTCTCTCTCTCTCTCTCTCTCTCTATCTCTTCTTCTTCTTTTAAAGTTATTTCTTTTTTCTTCCTCTCGTCTTTCTGACTTACTTTTTCTTTCTTTCTATTTTCGTTGTTTCTGTCTTTCTTTCAGTCTATCTTTCTTTTTTCTTTCTTTCTGTCTTTACTTCTTTTTTTCTTCCTTTTTTTTTTCTTCCTTCTTTCTTTCTATTTTCGTCGTTTCTGTTCTATCTTTCTTTTTCTTTCTTTCTGTCTTTACTTCTGTTTTTCTTTTTTCTGTCTTCCTTTTTTTTTCTTTCTTCCTGTCTTTCTTTCTATTTTCGTTGTTTCGTCTTTTCAGTCTATCTTTCTTTTTCTTTCTTTCTTCTTTACTTTCTTTTCTGTCTTTTTTTCTTTCTTTTTTTCTTTCTATTTTCGTTGTTTCTGTCTTTCTTTCAGTCTTTTTTTTTTTTCTTTCTTTCTGTTTTACTTCTTTTTCTTTGTTTCTGTCTTTTTTTTTTCTTTTCTTCCTCTTTCTTTTCTTTTTCTTTGTTTCTGTCTTTCTTTCAGTCTATCTTCTTTTTTTTTTCTTTCTTCTTTCTTCTGTTTTTTCTTTCTTCTTCCTTTTTTTTCTTTCTTCCCTATTTTTTCTTTTTCGTTTCTGTCTTTCTTTCAGTCTATCTTTCTTTTTTCTTTCTTTCTGTCTTTACTTCTGTTTTTCTTTCTTTCTGTCTTCCTTTTTTTCTTTTTTTCCTGTCTTTCTTTTTTTTCGTTGTTTCTGTCTTTCTTTCAGTCTATCTTTCTTTTCTTTCTTTCTTTTTTTCAGTTTTCTTTCTTTCTTTCTTTTTTTTTTTTTTTTCTTCCTGTCTTTCTTTCTATTTTTCGTTGTTTTGTCTTTCTTTCAGTCTATCTTTCTTTCTTCCTTTTTTTTTCTTTTTCTTTCCTGTCTTTTTTTTTCTTTCTTCCTGTCTTTTTCGTTTTCGTTGTTTCTGTCTTTCTTTCAGTCTATCTTTCTTTTTTCTTTCTTTCTGTCTTTACTTCTGTTTTTCTTTCTTTCTGTCTTCCTTTTTTTCTTTCTTCCTGTCTTTCTTTCTATTTTCGTTGTTTCTGTCTTTCTTTCAGTCTATCTTTCTTTTTTCTTTCTTTCTGTCTTTACTTCTGTTTTTCTTTCTTTCTGTCTTCCTTTTTTTCTTTCTTCCTGTCTTTCTTTCTTTTTCTTGTTTCTTTCTTTCTTTCAGTCTATCTTTCTTTTTTTCTTTCTGTCTTTACTTCTGTTTTTTTCTTTTTTTCTGTCTTCCTTTTTCTTTTTCCTCTTTCTTTCTATTTTCGTTGTTTCTGTCTTTCTTTCAGTCTATCTTTCTTTTTCTTTCTTTCTGTCTTTACTTCTTTTTTTCTTTCTTCTTCCTTTCTTTTTCTTTCTTTCTATTTTCGTTGTTTCTGTCTTTCTTTCAGTCTATCTTTCTTTTTTCTTTCTTTCTGTCTTTACTTCTGTTTTTCTTTTGTCTTTCTTTCTGTCTTCCTTTTTTCTTTCTTTCTGTCTTTCTTTCTATTTTCGTTGTTTCTGTCTTTCTTTCAGTCTATCTTTCTTTTTTCTTTCTTTCTGTCTTTACTTCTGTTTTTTTCTTTCTTTCTGTCTTCTTTTTTTCTTTCTTCCTGTCTTTTCTTTTCTATTTTCGTTGTTTCTGTCTTTCTTTTCTATCTTTTTTTTCTTTGTCTTTTACTTCTTTTTTTTTTCTTTCTATTCCTTTTTTCTTTTTTTCTTTTTTTTCTTGTTTCTGTCTTTCTTTCAGTTATCTTTTTTTTTTCTTTCTTTCTGTCTTTACTTTGTTTTCTTTTTTCTTTCTTTCTGTCTTCCTTTTTTTTCTTCTTTTTCTTTGTTTTTCTGTCTTTCTTTCAGTCTATCTTTCTTTTTTCTTTCTTTCTGTCTTTACTTTTTTTCTTTTGTTTTCTTTTCTGTCTTTTTTATTCTTTCTTTCTTTTCTTCTTTTTTTTTTCTTGTCTTTCTTCCTGTCTTTCTTTCTTTTTTTTTCTTGTTGTCTTTCTTTCTTTTTTTCAGTCTATCTTTTTTTTTTTTTTCTTTTTCTTTTGTCTTTCTTTCTTTTCATTGTTTCTGTCTTTCTTTCTTTCTATCTTTTTTTTCTTTCTTTCCTGTTTTCTTTCTTTTCTGTCTTCCTTTTTTCTTTCTTTCTGTCTTTCTTTCTTTTTTGTTTCTTTCTTTCTTTCACTTCTTTTTTCTTTTTTCTTTTTTTTGTTTTCCTTTTTTCTTTCTTCCTGTCTTTCTTTCTATTTTCGTTGTTTCTGTCTTTCTTTCAGTCTATCTTTCTTTTTTCTTTCTTTCTGTCTTTACTTCTGTTTACCTTTTTTCTTTCTTTCTTTTTGTCTTTTTTCTTCCTCTCTTTTTCTTTCTTTATTTTTGTCTTTGTTTTTTCTTTCTTTCTTTCTTTCTTTCTTTCTTTCTTTTATCCTTCTGTCTTTTCCCATTTCTTTCTATCTTTCTTTTTGTCATTCTTTCTGTTTTTGCTTTTCTTTCTTTTTGTCTTTCTTTTTGTCTTTCTTTTTGTCTTTCTTTTTGTCTTTCTTTTTCTGTCTTTCTTTCTGTTTTTCTTTCTGTCTTTCTTCAACGACATGATGCTATCTTTCTTTCTTCTTTCCTTTTAATTTTTCCCCAGAGATCAGCATCAAACAGATATACATATATATTCATATCTAATTCTTTCCATCGACACAACGTAACCGATGCGACCAAAAGCCTCACAGACATAAGCAAAGGGATTCCATAAAATATAAACACATGCTTACCAAAGAAATTTAAAAAAAATAAATAAAACTTCGGCTGTCGATCAAGGGTGGGGACGAGGGCTGGGGCGGAGATGCTGTTGGCATGATTAAAAAAAATCCTGCAGAGTGTTTTCCCGAAAAATAAAACTATGTTTATGTCTAAATAAAATAAAAAATGTTGCAAGGAATATCATTTTGTTATGAACACCATCCAGTAAAATAATGAGCGTTATTTAAAAATATTCTTCTTCTTCATTGTTTTGTTCGTTCCTACGTGTGTAGATGGCGCTTTTTAGACAAATGGCCAACCAATTAATTGATAAATATGACGCTATAATATTCAGAATATTCTTTTAAATGGAGGAAAGTTTTCGTAGATGTCGGTTACTTTTTCATTGCATCTTCCAATGTCTAATCTCTAAAGTAAGAAACAGAATAATTTAATATTCACAGCCTATTACTGTTTCATAAACATTTTGATATCTTTTCCTTTCGTTCTTTGTCGCTTCTCTACATTACACCTGTATTACACTTTCAATCAATAATCAAAAGGAAGAACGCGAGCAGAAATACTATATATATATATATATATATATATATATATATATATATATATATGTATGTATATGTATATATATATGTATAATATATTTTGTACCAGAGATTTAAAGTACTGGACGATTTATTTCGCTCTGTTCGGAGGTTTCTAGTACTTTTTTTTCCCATTTTTATCGGATGCCAATTTATTTGAAAATTGTGCTATGCATGTTTTTTTCACCCACCGAGTTTAAATAGATTTACACTATATATATATATATATATATATATATATATATATATATATATATATTGTTGTAGCATACCTACGGGCGATAATGTGTATGCCCCCATAAATAGAGTAATGAGTACTGTTGTTACCTGACACCGTTTTATACGGAGTCTACGTGGAATTTTGGGCTGAGCCTACGGGCTCGGGATCCCCACATTATATTCGGCCTTGTGCCACATCTGACTGCGTTTGGTAGTTGGTAGATGTCGTCTACCGGCCTCCAGTTAGAGATTTGTGTTCAGCTGTGCCAGTTAAGCTCTCCGCCTCCGGACAGAGAGGATCTCCAGACGAGGCTATGTCGAAGGGCAGAGTCTCGTCTCGGGAAACACCTACCCTACCCTGTTTTAACCTGGGTCTACAGGGAATGTTTGTCCGAGCCTACAGGCTCGGATACCCAAAATTAAATTCGGCATGGTTCCACACCTGACTGCGTAGGGTAGTTGGTAGGTACAGTCTGCAGTTAGAGCCATATTCGAATAGGAGCCCTATATAGGGCTATAGAAGCCTTATATATATATATATATTGAGGAAATTCTAAGATGAAATTGAATAGATAGATATCTGTGACGGAGAACACATATTTTTTTATCAAAAGTAGTGGTTCTCAACCGGGGTCCATATGGACCATCACTGAAGTCCATAGCATAAATAACAAATAGGGGGTCCATGGTAATGTTTTAGTGGTCCATAGAGCAATTTCACTTCGGAGCAGTTTTTAAAACTGAGAATTTGAATCTCTGCAGTAATCTACGACATATTAAAGTGCTAAAAATATAAAAAGCAACAACTTGTAGAAAAAAAGATCAAGCGATATAAGTTAGCGTGTTTTTTACTCTACTTATTATTAATTATTTTACTAGCGTACGTAAATGATCCGCAAAATTTACATGTACATAAATGCTCTTTAAAATTTGGTTGTTAATTATAAGTTTATTTTAATTAAATAAAAATAAAAATAAAGCATATACATTTACTATTTCTATAACACAATTCCTAAACTTATCTATTAGTTTCGTTTGGTTTATTTTGTTTTACAAAATCAATGGGTTATTTAATGCCGACAACATTTTTAGGATAGATTCGTATGAATAGAATATGTATTCTTTGGTTTAGATTGGTTTGGTTTATTTTGTTTAACGGCATATCAACCTCAATGGGTTATTTAATGCCAACAACATTTTAGGATAGATTCGTATGAATAGAATATGTATTCTTTGGTTTAGATTGGTTTGGTTTATTTTGTTTTTACGGCATATCAACCTCAATGGGTTATTTAATGCCAACAACATTTTTAGGATAGATTCGTATGAATAGAATATGTATTCTTTGGTTTAGATTGGTTTGGTTTATTTTGTTTAACGGCATATCAACCTCAATGGGTTATTTAATGCCGACAACATTTTTAGGATAGATTCGTATGAATAGAATATGTATTCTTTGGTTTAGATTGGTTTGGTTTATTTTGTTTAACGGCATATCAACCTCAATGGGTTATTTAATGCCAACAACATTTTTAGGATAGATTCGTATGAATAGAATATGTATTCTTTGGTTTAGATTGGTTTGGTTTATTTTGTTTTACGGCATATCAACCTCAATGGGTTTATTTAATGCCAACAACATTTTTAGGATAGATTCGTATGAATAGAATATGTATTCTTTGGTTTAGATTGGTTTGGTTTATTTTGTTTAACGGCATATCAACCTCAATGTGTTATTTAATGCCAACAACATTTTTAGGGTAGATTCGTATGAATAGAATATGTATTCTTTTGGTTTAGATTGGTTTGGTTTATTTTGTTTTACGGCATATCAACCTCAATGGGTTATTTAATGCCGACAACATTTTTAGATAGATTCGTATGAATAGAATATGTATTCTTTTGGTTTAGATTGGTTTGGTTTATTTTGTTTAACGGCATATCAACCTCAATGTGTTATTTAATGCCAACAACATTTTTTGGGTAGATTCGTATGAATAGAATATGTATTCTTTGGTTTAGATTGGTTTGGTTTATTTTGTTTTACAGCATATCAACCTCAATGGGTTATTTAATGCCGACAACATTTTTAGGATAGATTCGTATGAATAGAATATGTATTCTTTGGTTTAGATTGGTTTGGTTTATTTTGTTTAACGGCATATCAACCTCAATGGGTTATTTAATGCCAACAACATTTTTAGGATAGATTCTTATGAATAGAATATGTATTCTTTGGTTTAGATTGGTTTGGTTTATTTTGTTTTACGGCATATCAACCTCAATGGGTTATTTAATGCCGACAACATTTTTAGGATAGATTCGTATGAATAGAATATGTATTCTTTGGTTTAGATTGGTTTGGTTTATTTTGTTTAACGGCATATCAACCTCAATGGGTTATTTAATGCCAACAACATTTTAGGATAGATTCATATGAATAGAATATGTATTCTTTGGTTTAGATTGGTTTGGTTTATTTTGTTTAACGGCATATCAACCTCAATGGGTTATTTAATGCCGACAACATTTTTAGGATAGATTCGTATGAATAGAATATGTATTCTTTGGTTTAGATTGGTTTGGTTTATTTTGTTTTACGGCATATCAACCTCAATGGGTTATTTAATGCCGACAACATTTTTAGGATAGATTCGTATGAATAGAATATGTATTCTTTGGTTTAGATTGGTTTGGTTTATTTTGTTTAACGGCATATCAACCTCAATGGGTTATTTAATGCCAACAACATTTTTAGGATAGATTCGTATGAATAGAATATGTATTCTTTGGTTTAGATTGGTTTGGTTTATTTTGTTTTACGGCATATCAACCTCAATGGGTTATTTAATGCCGACAACATTTTAGGATAGATTCGTATGAATAGAATATGTATTCTTTGGTTTAGATTGGTTTGGTTTATTTTGTTTAACGGCATATCAACCTCAATGGGTTATTTAATGCCAACAACATTTTTAGGATAGATTCTTATGAATAGAATATGTATTCTTTGGTTTAGATTGGTTTGGTTTATTTTGTTTTACGGCATATCAACCTCAATGGGTTATTTAATGCCGACAACATTTTTTAGATAGATTCGTATGAATAGAATATGTATTCTTTGGTTTAGATTGGTTTGGTTTATTTTGTTTAACGGCATATCAACCTCAATGGGTTATTTAATGCCAACAACATTTTTAGGATAGATTCGTATGAATAGAATATGTATTCTTTGGTTTAGATTGGTTTGGTTTATTTTGTTTAACGGCATATCAACCTCAATGGGTTATTTAATGCCAACAACATTTTTAGGATAGATTCTGATGAATAGAATAAGTATTGTTTGGTTTAGATTGGTTTGGTTTATTTTGTTTAACGTCATATCAACCTCAATGAGTTATTTAATGCCGACAACATTTTTAGGATAGATTCGTATGAATAGAATATGTATTCTTTGGTTTATATTGGTTTGGTTTATTTTGTTTAACGGCATATCAACCTCAATGGGTTATTTAATGCCAACAACATTTTTAGGATAGATTCGTATGAATAGAATATGTACTCTTTGGTTTAGATTGGTTTGGTTTATTTTGTTTTACGGCATATCAACCTCAATGGGTTATTTAATGCCAACAACATTTTTAGGATAGATTCGTATGAATAGAATATGTATTCTTTGGTTTAGATTGGTTTGGTTTATTTTGTTTTACGGCATATCAACCTCAATGGGTTATTTAATGCCGACAACATTTTTAGGATAGATTCGTATGAATAGAATATGTATTCTTTGGTTTAGATTGGTTTGGTTTATTTTGTTTAACGTCATATCAACCTCAATGAGTTATTTAATGCCGACAACATTTTTAGGATAGATTCGTATGAATAGAATATGTATTCTTTGGTTTAGATTGGTTTGGTTTATTTTGTTTGACGTCATATCAACCTCAATGAGTTATTCAATGCCGACAACATTTTTAGGATAGATTCGTATGAATAGAATATGCATTCTTTGGTTTAGTTTGGTTTGGTTTATTTTGTTTTACGGCATATCAACCTCAATGGGTTATTTAATGCCAACAACATTTTTAGGATAGATTCGTATGAATAGAATATGCATTCTTTTGTTTAGATTGGTTTGATTTATTTTGTCTTACGGCATATCAACCTCAATGGGTTATTTAATGCCGACAACATTTTTTATTGGTGGTAATATTTTGTTTTGTCAAAAATCTGTTTCTGGTAATATATTTCTTTCAAAGTTGTATTGCTGGTAATAATTTTTTCAAAAAAGTATTGCTGGTAATAGTTAACTATTTTCCCATAGCTGGGACCCCTAACAGGTGCTACCACCCCGGATCAGGGTGGACCTGGGAACACCAGCAATTAAGAGGTGTTTCTACGCTCCTCAAAACCTCCTGATTAGAGGCATTGCTTCTGGATGTAGTTTATCGTCTTACCCAGGATGAGGATGTAATTTAACGTCTTACCCAGGACTATATCTATTAGTAAAAAATAAAATCGAGTCGTTATGGGGGTCTACCAAAAAGAATCAACAGTAAAAGTTATCCATGAGTAAAAAATGGTTGAGAACTCTTGGTTCAAGAGTAAGATGTTAAAATTCTGTATATATATATGGGCATCTCTATAAATTAGAATGTCGTTTTTGTATTTTAACTTTGATAATTACAGATTGCACGGCATAAATTGAAAAGAATATACCTTAGAACATTTGAATGTAACATGCTGTATAAATCCGAATGATTTCAGTCCACACAGCTAAAATTAGTCAAAGACTACAGACCAACGACGATTTCTCTGAAAATTCATTAAGACGCAAATTTTATAATGGCTTTAAAAAAAAACAACAAATTTATCAGTGGAAAAAATGATCTCTCAATTTGAAATGGCCGTATAGAGAAATTGTCATTCTTTCTTCCACAGTGTTCTGTTTCTCCTCTTTGTCTATAGCTGGATATTTTGTCACTTCTTGCTGACAAACAGAAGCGCCACGGTAATGTATGACACACGAACATCAGTAGGTTCATGGGTGGCGGCGAAATCCTATAAAAGTGCTGAGGTAGGTATTTGATGCTTCAACCTGTACTTATAGATTGCTAAAAATTATATCTTGTCATCGGCCTCCTAACTTTCTGCCGGCTTGGCGAATACTTCACTGGTCAGATGGTATGAAACAGGCAATAGGACAGGGGGAGAAGTAGGATTAGGTTAATACTGAGAACAATTAACAGAGATGAAAAACAGGGAGATTAAAGAGAGATGAAAGAGTAATGGAATGAAAAGAAGAAGAAAAGAAAGAGAGAAAAAAAGGAAAAGAAAACTCCAAACGAAGACGAAAGGAAGAAGAAGAAGAAGAAAAAAAGACGACGAAGACGACGACGTAGAAGAATAAGAAGAAAACGAAGAAGAATCGATGAAGAAAACAAAGAAGACGAGAAGAAGAAGACGACAAAGAAGAAGGCGAAGAAGAAGAAAAAGACGAAGCCGTAAAAGAAGAAGACGGCGACGAAGGAGAAGAAGACAACAAAGAAGAAAAAAACGAAAAAGAAGACGGAAGACGAAGAAAAAGACGAAGAAGAAGTCGAAGTAGACAATAAGAAAAATAAAAACCTTTCCTGCCTCCTATCAACATGACTGATGCTAACCTCCCTGTAATTGGCTAGTTACACCTTCTCGAGCCTACGTTCTCAGCTGACATGAAGTATAAAGACTATATTGTATCCATTGCAAGGTCTGCTGCTAAGAAAGTCAGTTTACACTATCGTGCTAGACAAATTTGTTCTCCAGAATTTATCTTACATATTTGTGTCTATCCAATTTTCTTACATATTGCTGCCACATATGGTCCAGTCCTCCTGTTGTATATTTAAATATTCTTGATAAAATCCATAAAAGAACCAGCAATATTATTGGTCCTGACCTGGCATCACAGATTCACTCACTTTCCCACCTCCGTAATCTAGCTTCCCTGTGTCTTTTCTACAGATACTTTCATGGTAATTATTTCGATGAACTCTTCGCTATGGTACGTAGACATTAAGGAATTTAAGCGCAGTACTAGATTGGCGGCAAGGTCCCATCATTTCGAAGTTTAATTGGTTAGATGTAACCGTAAGTTCTAAACTAACAGTTTCTTTTCTCGCAATTCTCACTTGTGGAACTCTCCTTCGGCTCCATGCTTTCCATCCAACTTTGATCTTCAAATATTTAAAGGCAACGTCAATCATTATCTCCTGTCTTCTGGATTAATCTTCATTTTTTTCTCCTTAATAATGTTTCCTTTTTTTTATTATTCTTTCACACTCAGTAACTCCTGGTGTCTTAGTGGCTTTACTGCCTTTCATGGGGTGAAATGATTAGAAAACAAATTTAAATACAATGTCAATCGTTATCTGCTGTCTTCTTGATTACTCTTCTTCTAGTGTTCTCGCTCCTTAATTATGTTTTCTTTTTCTTTTTTTTATTCTTTCACACTCAGTAACCCCTGGTGTCTTAGTGGCTTTACTGCCTTGCATGGGGTAAAATGATTAGAAAACAAATTTAAATGCAATGTCAATCGTTATCTACTGTCTTCTTGATTACTCTTCTTCTATTGTTCTCGCTCCTTAATAATGTTTCTCTTTTTTTCTTATTATTTCACACTCAGTAACCCCTTCTGTCTTAGTGACTTTATTACCTTGCATGGGGTGATATGATTTTAGAAGCAAACCAAAACAGCATTATTCCTTTAGACGAAGAAGATGACGAAGAAGAAGTCGAAGTAGACAATAAGAAAAAAAAACCTTTCCTGCATCCTATCAACATGACTGATGCTAACCTCCCTGAAATTGTCTCGTTACACCTTCTTGAGCCTACGTTCTCAGCTGACATGAAGTATAATGACTATATTGAATCCATTGCAAGGTCTGCTGTTAAGATTGTTATCTCCTGATTTCGCATGAAAGCTCAATATCTGTAAGTGTGGCGTGTGACAAAGCGTGGAATAGCGCGATATTACCTTAGAATCATTGATTTCAAAAGGAAGACAGAAAGACATTATGACAGTACAATACCAATGTCTCCCAAGTGATACCTACAAAGATGTCTTAAATCCTGCCTGCCGCTTATGCCATGAATTTCATGAAATTGTTGACCGCATAATAAATGCATAAATCATAAAGCGAAAGGGAAATGTATGGCAGTTAGCGAATTGACTAATATAATATGAAGAGGCCAATCTGCAAAGACAAAAAATAACTGTCTGATCCATGCTAAGCGCTTGTTGAGTAATTTGAAACATCAATGCTTTGGTTTTTCTTGATCATGAGCAAAAGGTCAGTTATAGGAATGACAGATGCTTTCGGAGAGACACTAATGATATTACAGCGGTCATGCATGCAAAATTTCCGGCAACTCTGATTGTTCTGAGAGTTATGAGCAACAAGAGAGATATCCTCCCTCTTTGCCTCTTTCCTCGGGGCTTAATGGTCAATGCTGCTGATTATAAGGTCTTATAGAAGGTTGTGAGGACTTAAATAGAGAGTGTGAATAGAGGAAGAATATATATCTACCAACAAGACACCGAATGGATGAATTATAATCCCCATGATTAAAATCACTCCAAACATATGGTTTCATAGCTCTCAAAACCTGAATCTGTTGGGCGACTATATATGGGGCATAGCAGAGAAGACAACAACGTCCTTAATAAGTCTAAAACTTCTGAAATCCGCCATAAATATCACAATGTCCGGAATAGACCTCATACTAAAAAGGTCATTGATGCTAACGGTAGACAATTTTCAGCGCGCTAACCTCGTTACCGATTGAGACACAAGGAAATACTGTGGAAAAATTGCCCAAGTTCACTTGGTATTTCTCTTTGAGTGGACTAGGCAATAACCCAAGCCCCTTGCCGAATGAGAGGTACTGCCTGGTTGAAAGGCCGCCCTAGGGTTTGGGTTTAATTTTTTTCCAATCATAAGCCTTCGCCTACTGGTGATACGGTAAATAATCATTTACTAGACGCACGAAGAGCCTCAAGATTAATCTATCTCAGTGGGTTCATTATCTATCTATCTATCTATCTATCTATCTATCTATCTATCTATCTATCTCAGTGGGTTCATTATCTATCTATCTATCTATCTATCTATCTATCTATCTATCTGGTTATATATATAGTTAGCTATTTCTGTCAGTCCGTATCTATCTATCTATCTATCTATCTAGTTAGATAGCTATCTCTGTCGGTCCCTATCTATCTATCTATCTATCTAATTAGATAGCTATCTCTGTCGGTCCCTATCTATCTTTCTATCTATCTATCTATCTGATCATATATCTAGTTAGAGAGCTATCTCTGTCGGTCCCTATCTATCTATTTAAAGAGCTATCTTTGTCGGTCCCTATCTATCTATCTATCTATCTATCTATCTATCTATCTATCTATCTATCTGTCTGTCTGTCTGTCTGTTCAGATGTGAATGTTCTGGGAATCGTGACCAACGAGGGAGATGCCATGCCTCCACACTTCTTTACTCATTTTTAAGTGCCTATGCGAACATAATCTACCAACAAGACTCATAAGGCCAAGACGACCCAAGAATTTTCGTTCCGTGCAGTGCGTCCATATTATGAGAATACAATTTACTGGAAAGTTCTGACAAAAAAACAACGAATAGCCAATGAAATATTAATAAAGATCTTACCTGGAGCTACACAATTTTCACTTTCCAGCCTTGACAGAGTTAAAAAGAATTTATGCCGCCTTGTGGGTGATGATTTTTTTGTCCACACGCCAGCTCGTTTCCCACTGATGCAAAATCACAAGCCTATCGGTACACTATATCTATAGCAAATGCTCAAATAAACTTCATTCTTTAGAGTCACAAGTTAAGACCTTTCCAGCCAAAATCCACATTGAATAAACCCCATTCCCTGCTATATTCATTTCGTAAAGATAATTTGTGTCATAGACTCTCAATAGAATACATTAAGTGAACAGACTGAGATAGATAATGGACAAACTTGGGATAGATAGTAAAAAAACAGACTATATATATATATATATATATATATATATATATATATATATATATATATATATATATATATATGAGGACAATAGTCCGAATAATGTAAATAATGTTCTTATAGACTATTTCAATTTTTCCTCTATGTCGACTGAGGATCCCTTGGTTAATGTGGTTGACCCTTTTTGCTTTATGTATTTATCGCTTCGTTTTGATTTTATTTTGCTAAATTACCTTTGCTTCCCTTTGTGTTAAAGAGTACCCATATCTGTCCCTTGAGCAACATTGCCTTAGGTAGGCTACATTTTACTGTTAATATTACATGACCGAATACTTTACGGATAAAAGTCCGTTCAGAATGTTTGCTGTCTGAAACCGCTTTCTAAGATCAATGGCGAATAATTGCTTTGAACAAAGGAAGCCTATGGGTTTTAGTGAAGAACGCATTTTATCTACCCTGTTGCTACATAATCAGAAACAAATGTATCAACAGAAAACATATTATTTGAGGACATTCAATAGCAGAAACAACTAAAATGGATAACACATGCACCTCGAAGAGACAATAATGAGGTAATGAAGGTGTTGACATTCCACACCACTTTAAACAAAAGGTTAGGAAGGAAAGAGGGATAACAGCTAGTGGACTTGAGAAAACTATTCTCAAGAAAAATTGCTTTAAGAGAAAGATTTTATAAATTTCATCTGACATAAATATAAGCTGCTCACTCAAGGAATGCCAAATGTTTCCTTATAGGGAAGCAGCTAATGTTTCCATTATTATTTAACTTCCTTTGTATATGCATCATGTCATTAGTTAGGTTGTCAATATATACTGGAGAGAGCATACAGCATATTCTTCTTCAGGATGTGGGTGATCATCAAGGCTCTCCACAAATTCCTATTCTTTGTTGCTCTTTGTAAGGTTTTGATTCAGTGTCTCAAACAAAAGGTTAGGAAGGAAACTCCCATCAATACTAGAAAGAGCAATAACAGCTAGTGGACTAAAGAAATCTATTCTCCTGAAAAATTGTTTTAAGGGAAAGATTTTATAAATTTCATCTGACATTAGTACAAGCTGCTCGGTCAATGAATGCTGAGTGTTTCCTTATTGGGAAACAGTTAACGTTACCATCATCATTTACAAGTGTGCATATATTTTTTGGCGGGAATGATCTAAGCATGAATTTCAGTGGCGGGGCGCGGCTGCCTATGCAATATTTAGCAGTCGTTCAGCACAACTGACCTGGGAAGTCTCAGCAGGTGCCCGCCGCCATTTTCATTACTGCATTCTCCAAAACATTTTCTTATATAAATATTTTATGATACCGTATCAAAATGACCTCAATTGTTTTTTTTTTAATTTTTTTTTTTATTATTATTTTCTTTTTTGTTACTCTTCCGGGGAAATTTATCCACTTCTTACCAAAGAGGTGTGAGGTGAAGAAATGCTTACCAGCGCGAAAAACAATAAGGACTAAGTGAACCGAGTTTCGAGCAGAAGTTGCCTTTGCTCACTTTACATTAATACCCTTAGTAAAGACATGAATCCACTTCTCCCTGTAACTGTGAGTAAATAGCAGGGAACTTGGAACCTTTTAAGCATTTGAAAGTAGTCCAGCCAGGAAAAAGTTAATCTAACGCAAAGCCAAAGATTAAAATGTACATAAAATGTGTAAGTGATTGACATTGATAAAAAAAAATGTTTTCTGATAGAACACTTTAGCATAATTAAAATGGCACAGAAAATAATTTTACTCTTAAAATTCATTTGAAAGACTTTTACAAAAAAATATGCATTGTCTTCTTATAGAATAAGATATTATTGATAAAAATAGTGATAGACTACGAAGAAGAATCTGCAATGTTACTGGTACTAACCTGGCATCTCGACTTCAATCACTTTCTCACCGCCGTAACGTAGGCTTCCTCAGCCTATTCTACAATTATTTTCATGACAATTGTTCTAATACCATGTTTGGTAACGAGACTTTATGAATTTAAGCGCAGTACTAGATTGGCGGAAAGGTCTCATCATCTTACAGTTGAAATGGCAAGAGATGCAACCGCAAGTTCTATGCTAACAGTTTCTTCTATTGAACATTTCCCCGGTGGAATTCTTGTCTTGTTTTCCAGTCAAATTTGATCTTCAAAAAGTGAAATGTAATATCAATCGTTATCTTCTGTTTTCTTCATTTCCATTATTTTACACTATTTACATTACTCGGACTATTGTCCTCATCTTTGTCGCCATATTTATTACGTTGTACGCTCCGGACTTCTTCAGGTGGTTGGAATGTCAAACAGGGATAAAATGTTCTAGTTGCACGTGCCATGTTTAATGGATGTCAGTTATCTTCTGTTAATTCCCCTCTGAAAGTTCTCCACTGCCTTAATCGGCTATTGAACTCACACTCTCTGGATCCTGTCACTGGATCTAACCAACGCCTTTATCTACTGTGCCACGTGTTCTTGAGGACATCTGTGTATGAATTTCTGGGTATTATAAACCTAATGTCTCAGCAATCATTTTTTACCAGTGCTCATATTGCAAATTTTGCTGTTATCATTTCATGTTTTTTACCAGAGCTCATATTGTAATTTTTGTTTCTAAATATGGCAACAAAGATGAGGACAATAGTCGGAATAATGTAAATAGTGTACATAATACCTCATCTCAGAAATATAGACAGATACTGAAAGGCCGAGACGTTGTAATAAATATGGCGACAAATATGAGGACAATAGTCCGAATAATGTAAATAGTGTATATAATACCTCATCTCAGAAATATAGACAGATTCCATTCTTTTATTGTTCTCCGTCCTTTAATAATGTTTTTTCTTTATATCAGCGTCTCTCACACTCAGTAAGCCCTTGCGTCTTCGTGGCTTTAGTAATTAAAAAATATGCATTGTTTATGGCAGGTTTCAATCCCGACTGAGAAATCTAAAACCTGTCATTGAGCCTGTAGCCCAGCATGTCTAAACTTTAAACAAAAAACAAAAAATGATTCTCCAATGAACAAAACTTATTTCAAGATAAATATTGCTCAATATACCTGGTTGCATTGGAGGATTATCGTGGCATAAACACACACACGCACACACGAACACACCTTACTATAGATACACACATATTACGGCCGATAGACACACACACACACACCTTACTGCACGCCCACTCACAGCACACAAACTCTCTCTCTCTCTCACCTTACTGCCAATACACACACGCACAGACACCTAACTACCGATACACACACACATCTTAGTGCTGATAAACCCATTCACACACTCACGCCTTACTCCCCCCCACACACACAGACACCTTACTACCGATACAGACACACTCTACTTCCAATATATACATACACACACCTTACTGGCGATAGGCACACATACACACCTTACTGCTAATACACACACGCACACACTCCTAACTACGAATACACACACACACACCCTATTGCTGATAAACCCACCCACACACGCAGGCCTCACTATACACACACCCACACAAACACACACACCTTACTACCGATGCAGACACAATCTACTGCCGATATATACACACGCACACCTTACTGGCGATAAACACACATACCTTACTGCCAATATACGCACACACCATAATACCGATACCCACACAGATCTTACTGACGATATTCAGGCAACCCCCCAGGGCGTCATGTGGCACAAGGCCGGTTTAACGTGGGCTCTCCGAGCCCGTGGACTCGGCCCAAAATATGCCCTTTGAACCCGTATAAACGGGTTCAGGGTCGGTTTACCTCCCCCGAAAGAGAATCCGCCCTTCGGCATAGCTCCTTTCGGGTTCCTCCCCGCCCGAAGGCAGAGAGTTCAACCGATCATAGCTCTTACTGACGACAGACAACCCTTGATGACGATAGATATACATACACCGCTGCTGCTCTTATACACACACACAAAAAAAAAACACACACACACTCACACGCATACGTACAAACACACACAAGTACATTGCTACTATTAAGTCTAAAACCGTAGATTTTAGTAACTTAGTGTCCGATATTTTTCTCCTTTTATCAAATCGAGAACTTTCTAGATTTTTACTTAAAGGAAGAATTCAAGTCACTTACGTTAATACTTTTGTGATTTGTTCATTTAGCCACCGCTAAAAGAAATGTAGGACACTAAAGCCGTGGATAACGATGAACTGCAGAATTTTTGAAAATATTATCTTAAAAAAATGGTGATAGGACTTTAATAAATGTCTTCTTTGAATGAAGTTAATTAATACTTCAAACATTATTAGTTGCGATGTAATCTGTTGATATAATTAATGCTAATGAAGTAATGGCGTCTAAATTCATCGTCAAAATATTCAGCTTACAATGTTCTGGACTTTTCCCCGGCATCGCTTCTACTTAATAAAAAGAAGAAAAAAATCTGCAAAGTCCTCTTTCGTGATCAACACCAAATTTCTGTTTTATTCATAACATTATCTACGCTCTTAAATCTCCTTCGTTTTTCAATGGCGGTCTTAATTTTGAAGAAGTCGGAGGAAGCTAAATCCAGATTGTTTGGTCGCTGAGAGATTAAGTAAGGATTCATTGGCAATAACTTAAAAAAACTACATAAAACGTCATTGTGAATCCAGCCGTCAAGAAATAGATACGTTTATTAAGTGACATTTCATTGCCGACTGACTAACCCAAATTAAGAGTGTATGTCCATGCATATGTAGTAAGCCCCTCTCAAGTTAAATAAAGACCGCGTAAACGATTCTCAATATATTCAATACTGACCGAGCAGAAACTGTGTAACCAGACGTATTAATTGTTTTGTTCCAATTTCTTTGATAAAAATAATTCCATTATTTTTTCAGCGTTTTTTTCTTCGTATTTCTATTGCTTTTATCACAACGCTCAGGTCGTTACAATCTTCAACCGTTAAAATGAATTAGAATTAAAGCAAGATTCAGATTAATATGAGATGCTTGTTTCCAAAAATCCGAAGGCATTTTGGAATAACGAAGAATTACTTCCATTGGCTGAATCTTTCGTTGGAAACAAGGAAAAATGTGTAGAAGTGCTATGTAATACTGACCGTTTTATATTGCATTAATTGCCTGATAGTTTTCTCAAAGATGAAGTGGTAACTAGAGACAAAATAATTGCGGCTCTATAATTGCGGCTCTGAGGATACTGAGAATACGATATATAAACCGTCCTGGGTAATACCATAAACTACATCCAACAGCAAGGTCTCTGATCAGGAGGATTTGAGGAACGTGAAACCACCTCAATTGCTGGTGTTCCCAGGTCCACCCTGACCCGAGGTGGTAGCACCTGTTAGGGTCCCAACTATGGGCAAATAGTTAACCCCTAAACTGGGGTCAAAACACTATGAAAGTGTCAAAATTATTAACAGCAATACATTTTTTTTAAAAAAGAAAAAATATTACCAGTAAAGGAAAATTATTACCAGAAATAGATTTTTGAAGGAAAAAATATTACTAGAAATAATTTTTTGGAAAAAAATATTATTGTTGTAGCCTTGTTGGGGCCAGAAATAAAAACAAGTCTATTAATGGAAAATCGGTAATACAAGCATATACAAACGAGCAATGTTGTCCGAACTGTCAGAGCTGAGTGATGGAAAAATACTACTTCTCTAACAAAAAATAATACCTGCTTTTGACATTGTTCGGACTATCAACTCCATCTCTGCTGCCATATTTATCACAACGTTTCGGCCGTTGTACGCTCCGACCTTCTTCAGGTAGTTGGAATGTCGAACTGAACCCTTTATTTCGCTCACTGGTATAGACTGTTCTAATTCCACGTGCCATGTCTAATGGATGTCAGTTATCAATTATTTCCTGTTAATTTCCCTCTCCAAGTTCTCCACCGCCTTAACCAGGTATTGAACTCACACTCTTTGGGTCCTGTCACTGGATCTAACTAACGCCTTTATCCACAGTGCCATGTGTCATATGTGTATGAATTTCTGGGTATTATAAACCTAATGTCTTCAGCAACCATTTTTTACCAGCGCTCATATTGCAATTTTTGCTGTTATCATTGCATTTTTTTTACCAGAGCTCATATTGCAATTTTCATTGTTATTATTGCTTTTCTCTGGCACTACTTATTACTGTTTCCCATATTGTATACACTTCTATGCTCGGTCGGCTCAAGAGATTTTTGTGGCGTAGAATATGTGCTGATTTCTTAAGTTTACGAATTTTCCAATGATGCCCTTTGTCTATGATTTCAACCTGATCTCACAGAGGGCGGTGATCTCCCCTTTCTCTCCAAATCTATGCCTGATTTTTCATCAAGGAAAACAAATTACCATAACAATTACCAACAATGAAAATTTTGTCGGCATTAACGCATTTTATGCCGTAAGACAAACCAAACCAAAGCCAAATTTATAAATGAAAAAGAATTGTGGCTCTACAGGAGGATACTGAGAATACGAGAGATAAAACATGTGAACAACGGGGAATTTTAACGAAACTGGAAATAAAAAGGACGGTCAGATATTTAGAGTCAGAAAGTGACAATCGAAATTTTTGGGAGGCTTAATGAGTAAGGTTTTGCAAATGGATGGCAGAACAAGAGGAGGAAGAGACAATAAAAAGATAAACAGTGTTATGTGCTACAAAGGATAAGAAGTTGTAGAGAGCCTCGATCGCCCACGTCCTGAAACGAACGAACCAGAAGAAAAAGAAGAAGAAGCGGTATACTATGAGTATGGAAGAAAAAAAAGATGGCGTAGAGGAAGAAGAGAAGGAAAAGATAAGAAATAAAAGATGGAGAATGAAAAAAAAGATGGCGTACAGGAAGAAGAGGAGGAAAAGCTAAGAATTAAAAGATGGAGAAAGAAAAAAGATGGCGTAGAGGAAGAAGAGAAGGAAAAGCTAAGAAATAAAAGATGGAGAATGAAAACAAAGAGACAGAAATAAAACAAACGAAGTGTTGTTGGTTTCTTTTTTGTTGCTTTTTTTATAATTTTTTTTTAAAAGTAAAGATAGAATGTTTAAAGCAAATGATAGAACCAAGAAAGGAAATACCTGTGACGACCAAAAAACAATTTTCCGTAATATAACTCGATCCGGAAAAACCGAAAAAATATCTGTGCTTAGAGATCATTTCGACGAATTTCCATAGAAACAGGGCTTCCTATACGCTGCAACACAACACACACACACACAAAAAAAAAGTCTGAAAATAATCAAAACATGATCCTATTGACTCACTGACCGATTATTGGTGAACATCGACATTTACAGGATGTTATCAAATGTCTCTTTAAACAGCATTGAGCCTGGTCAGTACCACGACAGATGACCGCTTGTGAATACCACGTGCTGTGACATTAGATGTGCGGGTGGTGTAATGGATAATGGCTCGGAATTGTTAATTTGAAAGCCGAGTACCAATGACCGTTGGGTTCGTTATATTGGGAAAGCTATGAATCCACCTCTTCTCCCTCCAGCTATGGGTTAATTATTAAGACTTTTATCACTGAATCATTATTATCTCAAAAAAAATTCTTACAATCCAAAAATATCTTCCGGCTTTAAACAACCTGCAAAAGGTTGATAAGCCGTAAAAAATGAATCAGTCGATCAATAAAAAATTTTTTAAAAAATCTCTAAAGGTTTGGACGCCAGAATGTAATTTCTGCATCTTTGCAGTATCCATATGGTCTGGAGATCACGTGAATATTAGATGTTGTAAGCTTGGAGATGCAGGTGGTATAATGTTAGAATGAGAATTCGGAGAGCCGAGTTCGAATTCCAGTCGGTTTCGTTATATTTACTTACGCACAAATACCCCTGAGATAGCGATGAATTTATCTCTTATCGCCCCAGCTATGGGTTAAATAGTAAAGCAGACTGGGTCCTATATCCTTGGAGGGAAACTAGTTTCCTGCAAAAAGTAACGGCTGCCTATTACAGAAATTCTTCTGCCGAGTCAATGATGCATCGAAAAAAACATGATTAACCTAAGGAAGAAAAGATATACAATGACATTTTTGGGTAGCTCACAGCGGTGTAATGCTTAGTAAGCTTGTCTCGTTAGAACAATTACGACTGAGTAGGGAGTTCGATCCTCACTAGGAACCCCTTAATTTCGGCCTTGTGCCACATCTAAGCTACGCTTGGAAAATCACTATACAATGATATATTTTCACAAGGGACGATGTGAAGTAGAAAATGAGAGAAAAGAGATCAGTGAACGAGAGAAAAGAGAAGACGAAAAGAGAAAAAGAAGGAGAGAGAAGGAGAAAAGAGAAGACGAGAGGGGGAAGAGCAGGTGGAGATAAAAAAAAAAGAAGACGTAGAGAGAAAAGAAAACGAGGGGCGAAAGTGTAGGGGAGAGTAAAGAGAAGACGAAGAGGGGAAACAGTAGGAGGAGAGAAAAAGATGACGAAGGGGGAAGAGCAGGAAGAGAGAAAAAAGAAGACGAAGATAGAAAAGAGAAGACGAGGGGGGGGGAGGAGAGAAAAAAACAGAAAACAGAGAGAAAACAAAAGACGAGGCGGGAAAATAGGAGGAGGAGAACAAAGAGAAGCAGAGAGGGAAATAGAAGAAGAAAGAAGACGAAAAGAGAAAAATAAGAGGAGGAGGATAGAAAAGAGAAAACAAAGAGAGAAAACCGATGATGAGGCGGGGAAAGAGGAGTTGGAGAGAAAAGAGAAGCAGAGGGGAGAAGAGAAGGCGAAGACAGAAAAGAGAAGACGAGGAGAAGAGGAGGCGGAGAAAAAAGAGAAGACAAAGAGAGAAATGAGAAGTCGAAGAGGGAAGGGAAGAGGAGGAGGAGGAGGAGGAGGAGGAGGAGGAGAGAAAAAAGTGGACGAAGGGGAAGAGAAGGAGGAAAGAAAAGAGAAGACGAAGAGAACAGTAGACGAGGGCATAAGAGGAGGAGAAAGTGGTGAGAAAAGAAAAGACGAAGAGAGAAAAAGAGTAGACGGGGGGGGGAGAGAAGAGAAGAGAAGACAGAGAGAAAAATGAAGAGTGAAAGAGGTAATTGTAACATATTTGCAATTACTTCTCCGTAATGATTAAAGTGTCTCCTTTGTTAATTTTATATAAATTAGCTCCAAAATTTAACCTAAGCTCTGCCTAATGGGCTTGTGTAAATGGTTCTCTTCCCTCTCGTCCTCTTTTCTCTCCCCCTCCTCCTCCCCTTCCCTCTTAAACTTCTCTTTTCGTCTTCTCTTTTCTCTCCTCCTCTTCCTCTTTCTTTTTTCACTTCTCTTTTCGTCTTCTCTTTTCTATCCTCCCCCTCCTCCCCTTCCCTCTTTCACTTCTCCTTTCTCTTTTCGTCTTCTTTCTCTCCTCCTCCTCCCCTTCCCTCTTTCACTTCTCTTTTCGTCTTCTCTTATCTCTCCTTCTCCTCCTCCTCATCCTCCTCCTACCTTTTCCTCTTTCACTTCTCTTTTCTCTTTTCGTCTTCTCTTTTCTCTCCTCCTCCTCCTCCCCTTCCCTCTTTCACTTCTCTTTTCTCTTTCCGTTTTCTTTTTTCTCTCCTCCTCCTCCCCTTCCCTCTTTCACTTCTCTTTTCTCTTTTCGTCTTCTCTTTTCTCTCCTCCTCCTCTTCTCCTAGTCTGTAAATGGTTGGTAAAACAGCGATTAAGAGAGACAGCAAAAAGACAATATTTACTAAGAGATACAAAGGACAGGGACATTGTGGAGAGTCATGATCGCCTTCGTCCTGAAGAAGAGCTGGATGAAATTCACATTCAGTTAAATAAAATACAACTGGCAATGGTTAATCGACAAGATCCATTTCTGCTTCATGTCAATGCTGGGCCGCATGTTGCCCAGCAGAGTCTCACCGCCCTGGGGATACGAGACTTTGCCACACCCACTATATTCTCCTGATTTCTCACCCAATGACGACCACTTTTTCAAGCACCATGACAATTTTTTAAACCAACAGTAATTCCGTTGCCAAGATGCAGAAACGACATTCAAAGATTTTTTTTTTTTTATTGACTTGTTTTTTACGGTTCATCAACTCTTTGCATGTTGTTTGAAGCCGGAAAATATTTTTATATTGTAAGAATTTGTTTATGAGATAATGATTTAGTAATACAATTATTACTAATTAACCCATAGCTGGGGGAGAAGTGGCTTCATAGTTTTTCCAATGGTATTAGAGCTTAAGTAAATTTAACGAACCTAACGGTAATAGGAACTCCAATTAACAATCCCTAACCATTATTCATTACGCCACCCACACATTACAGAACCTGGTACACCCATCTATGTACTGACCAGGTTCAACGCTGCTTAACTTGGATGTATGAGAGCCGGTGTTTCAACGTGATACGGCCGTATACCTTGCTAGCGTTTTATGGTAAAGGCATAAATAACCTTGTAACACGTTGTTTCAGTGTTCCTATTTGGATTGAAAATTAAATAAAGTTTAAATACATTAATTCACGAATAAATGTTGATTCGAAAATCGGACATTATTTTCCAAACAACCTAATCCTATTTTCCTGTGTAGCCACAGGGTGCGTCACGTATTTGAGAACAACATTCTGAAAGAGATTAATATAAAATTAACAAAAAGGGCTCTTTAATCATTAGGAATGAGTAATATATTTTGGGCAACTTTCATAATAATATCTTAGAATACAATTAAAAGGTTTATTCTAAAATCGGACATTATTTTCCAAACAACAAATGTCGTCTTCTAAATGGATGCTTTGGGCATCTCGATGTGACGTAATGGTTAGTAAACTTATTTCGAGGGAACAATTACGAATGAGAAGTGAGTTCGATCCTTACTGAGTGATTATACTTTCAGCCTTGTGTCAAACCTAAGCTACGTTTAGAAAATCTTCTTATAAGTGGATGTTTAATTTTTTTTTTTTTTCGAGGAGGGGCACCTTGACATGGTGCAATCTTTAGCAAATTTTTCTCACTTTTCCTCCAGAAATTTCGACAACCTCTTCCTGATGTTATGTATGAGATTCCTTTTTGTTATACTTAACATCAGGAAGAGGAGGTTGAAATTTCTGGACCACATAATGAGAAAAGAGAGCTTGGAAAATTTGATACTAACAGGACGGATTGAGGGAAAGAGAGAAAAGCAGCGTGTAACGTACTTGACGGGCTTGAGCAAATGGATGGCGGAACAAGGTTTGGCAGATATAACACAGAGACAAAACTTATTAAGAGCTACTAGGGAAAGGAGATGTGGAGGGTCATGGATCGCCTATGTCTTGAACGGACACGGGACATAGAAGAAGAAAGAAGATCCATTACAAATAAGTGGTGAGTTCGATCCTCACTGGGTTATATATATATATATATATATATATATATATATATATACATATAAATATAGATAACTAGACTCGTTTCGAAAAACCCTCGAATTTTTGATTTGCTAATCAAATCAATCTCGAGGGAAAAAAAGGTTTTAAAAAAAGAAAGAGCTATAAACATGAACTTCTGCCGACAAAAAAATTGCACAGATGCAGGTCTGAAGCCCAAAGAAAAAACCCCGATACGAGTAACAACTAACTAACAAAAGAGCTCAATACAACCGTAGAGCAGACCTAGATACACCTAGTGAGCCAGACAAACCTACCTAGGTTTCACCTAAACGGATCGTCAGGGAAAGTTTGGCCAAACTTTCCCTGACGATCCGTTTAGGTGAAACCTAGCTAGGTTTGTCTGGCTCACTAGGTGTATCTATCTATCTATCTATATATATATATATATATATATATATAGTTCAACCTTGTGCCACGCCTTAGGTACGCTTTGTAAGTCGCTAGAAATTAATGTTTTTATTGTGCTGTCTAAAGATTAAACTTTGGACTCATTGAATTCATTTTCACTCAAACATATTTTTAGCAGGGGGTTCTGAAAGATTATGGAAGGTGCGAGGCGACATCCAAAAATAACCGTGAACATTTTTGGGGACACTTAACCTTTTTCTTGAATGTTTTCAGTTCCAATACAAAAAGGCAAATATTTCTTTAAGAAAAAGACCGATTTTTCCCTTACATATGGGTGTCAATTCTGACATTAAATTCCTGCATTCTTTTACTTGAAATCATGGGAAAAAAATTTACAAAGAAAACATGAAGACAGCAAGCAACTGTTAAGGTGTTTTAGAGTGGTTTCACAGTGGAGGCTTGTAGTTGTACTAAATCGGTCCTAAAATAGGTTCGACGTACAAAACGTTAGGAACTTGATATAATAGGTAAATACGCAGAGAAATCTAGTGGTGGTCGCTGATACTTTTAGTAACCGACTAACAGTCGTCCGACATCGACTGACTGACCAACTCACTGAGCGACTTAGCGACTCCTCGTTAGTATTACTACTCCTACTTATTATAGATGGGAAAGTCTATTAACTAAAGAATAGGTGTGTTCCACTATAACATAAGGAACTTGAAATGTCAAGAAACGGCATTTCAGAAATTCCATCAAAATCTGAAAACACTGAAGAATTTTGATTTGACACTTGAAAGCTGAAGCATATAGCAACACAGAGACTAATCTTGACAGCAAAAAGTTCAGTGAAATCAAACTTGTAGGCAAGTGATGGATGAGTTCTATTTGGTGTCAATAGATAACACTAAGTGCATCCTTCGAGAACATTTGAAGGCAGCATTAAGTTGGTCAAAAAGGCATGAACTCTGCAATGCAGAGGTTTGGCATTAGATCACATTTGTTGATTTAATCTTATATCACTTAGGCAAATAAAGTTCTATAGATCCTCAAGTGGAAAAAATATAGGTTTCTATAGAACTCAATAGGCAGAACCCATTTCAACTGCAGATGGAACAAGTCAACTTATTAAAGGACATGATTACATTAGGTGAAGGCTATCAGTTCAATACCTGTGCTGGGTAGTAAATTATATATTTTGAGCTATTTAACAGCCTCACAACATTCACTGGTGAAATGTAGATGAGTTGTATTTTAATAAATGTGAAGTTGTCAAAAGGCCGTCAGGAGTGTGAAATGACCCATGTTACACAGTAAAAAGAGTAAAATTTTATGGCTAAGAGTCTGATGCTTTAGGGCTGAATAAAAATGGATGGTTCAAGAAAATTGGTTACAATTGGCGATAGCTTAAAAGTGCCAAATACATACAGTTGCTGAAGGAACATTTAGCACCAGATTTGGATGAAGGTTAGATTTTTTTTAGCATTATGGTGTACCACATCACAGACTGCTTGCAACACAAATGTGTCACCAGATTGAAAGATTCATCAAATTAGATCACAGATTTTATTTTTAATCAACTACTTCCACTGCTTCCCAAATTGCACGAATTTAAGCATGCTACTAGGTTGGCATCTTGGTCCCACCCTTTCACTGTTGAAGCGGCTAAATGTAGCCATCTCTTGTACTCCAACATCCTTGATTCCCTGATGGCTATAATCTTCAAATGTAATGTCAATCGACATCTTCTGATGCCTTGACCTTGATCCCTGTCTTTCTCTTTATCCTTTTTCCAAACACACCTTTTTACTCTTCCTCTCACTCTCTGTAACCCCTTTGTATACTAGTGGCACTCCTGCTTTGCTTAGGGGTGATTTGCTTTAAAAACAACAAAAAAAGTATATTCATCTCACGCAAGGTGACAATGCTACCAAGACGCAAGGGGCTACTGGGAATGAAGGAGAATGAGAAGACTTTAGAAGGAAGTGGAAACCCAATCCTAAACAAGAAACAAGGGATAAATGACTGGGGAGGAGTGTGAACCTGGTGATAGGCAAATCTATCCACACCTATTGATGGAAAAAGAATAAAAAATAAATACTAAGGCGTAGAAGTTTCAAAGTCGGGTCCTGAACACACCATAAACTAACAATGAAATTACTGGACTATGTTGGTCTCTCTATGCTGAGTTGTTCGTCAATATAAGCTATCGATATTGCAAATGAAACAAATTCCCTGTAGATCTAATTAGAAAGACTAAAAAAAACACAGATCAGGGGCCCCCGTTTTATCTTCAAGTCCTTCCCATTTAGAATAGCCAAGTCTTATTTCTACATTGATAGATATGAATTGATTGGAGAAAGAACGAGAGAGAGAGAGAGAAAGAAAGAGAGAGAAAGAGAAAGAAAGAAAGAAAGAAAGAAAGAAAGAAAGAAAGAAAGAAAGAAAGAAAGAGCGTAGAATTAGAGTGAGACAAACAGATATAAAAGATATGGGAAGAGAGTGATAGATATAAACTGACTGAGATAGATAAAGACATGTAAAAGAGAGAGAGAGAGAGAGAGAGAAAGAAATGTATGCAATATAAGAAAAGTGTAATAGATACGGACAGAGGCGATCTCGGGAAGGAGTAAAAGATGAACAGGGGTAACATGATATGGGTAGAGAGTGATATGAACAGAGAGGGGGAGAGGCAAAATGATTTGTCTAGATAGTGCTATTAACAGACATATATAGATAAGTAGATAAATATATAGATAATGAATAGACACACACACACACAGATAGATAGATAGATAGATAGATAGATAGATAGATAGATAGATAGATAGAAAAAGAAAGAAAGAGATAGATAGTTTAACGCCAATTATCATTTGATAGATAGATAGATAGATAGATAGATAGATAGATAG